ATATTAAATCATTTCCTACTATTCCCTCACATTATTGTAGGGCAAATTCCAAGAGACAGTATTTAGAGCCCGGGCTCACTGTACAAAAAATGTACAATCTATATGTTGATAACTGCAATAGAGATGAAATAAAACCCTTAAAATTATATGTTTATCGCGATATTTTTAATTTGGAATTTAACATTGGATTCCATGTCCCGAAAAAAGACAAGTGTGACACGTGAAAAATACAAAATATTAACCTCCCAACCAAACGTTAATGAAATTAATGCTCAAACATTACATGATCATTTGAACTTAAAGCAAGAAACAAAAATAGAAAGGGACACGGATAGAAACAGAAAAGATAATTCTGTAGTTGTGTGCTTTGATATGCAAAATGTCATGACGTGTCCGCGAGCTTCAGTTTCAAATTTCTTTTATAAAAGAAAGCTTTCGGTTTTTAATTTAACAGCACATTGTTCTTATAACAAAGTGGCTTATAATGCAATATGGACAGATAACATGATAGGGGGGCTAATGAAATTGCAAGTGCTTTGTGTGTTATATTACAAAAAGTGTGCGAAGATATTCCAAATATTAATCATCTGATTTTGTGGTCTGACGCGTGTGTTCCTCAAAACAAAAATTCCATAATGGTAACAGCACTGATAAAATTTGTCGAGAGACATTCAGGTCTCATCATTGAACATAAATTTGGAACATCTGGACATTCTTCTATACAAGAAGTAGACAATGTTCACAGTCACATTGAAAAAGCACTAGGAGTAGCCGAAATCTATAGCCCAATATCCCTTGTCAGAGACTTACTTAAAGTTCGACCAAAACACATGAAAGTTATACAAATGAAAAAATCTCAATTCTTTGATTTCCAAAAGGTTTCACAACGATTTAAATTTAATATTCCATTTTGTAAACTAAATTATTTGAGAATTGATTCTTCCCGACATATGCAGTGTGATTACAAATTTTGTTTTTCTGAAGAATTGAAAACCCATACTATTTCTAGAAAAAAGAGCACCCGGTCAGATGGAAAATGTAAAACCTTTCCGAATCCCTCGGTATTGGAAAAAAACATGACATACTCGAAAGAAAAAATCAACGATTTGAAAAGTATGATGCCATTTATGCCACTTTCTGACTGTGATTACTATAGACTTACTCTTGGCATAGACGCTAATAATTAATATGAATTATATTACACGATAAAGCCTTTATTTAAATGTCAAAAGCATCAAAAAGGTAAAACAGTCAAATTCCCTCCGATTATATTGATTTTTATTGATTATTACATATTAAAATTACTTGAATATCGTCGGTCGACATATTATCAAAATTTGGTTTCCATATATACAATGGTCAGCTTTTATTACAACATATAAGAAAATGTCTTCAAATATTATTCATTTTATTTTAATTCCATTTTTTTTATTAATTAATCGATCTATGTTTAAAGCTAGGAAATGTGGGATATAGAACGGGTGCCAATATGAGATTGTCTTCTGCTACTAATTCCATATCGTTCTATATCCCAATTCCTCCATTGTCCATTTTTGTAAAACAAAAATATGAGAAATTTGTAAACTTTTTGTCAAAATGAGTTTTATTAAAGTAAAAATAAATGAATGATTTTTCACAACATGTTAATTTTGATATATTCCTTCACTTAATATTGCATTTATATGGTTGTCAAAGTTTCAAATTTGATTTTCTCAAAAACAACAAGAACGGAGATAGAACATTATAGACCTGAGGTGACGATATCTAAGTTATATCTTAATATCTTACTTACGAGGTCGTAAAATATCATGTCGCAATAGTAAGCACATTGTGAATCTATGAACCATCATTTGAAATGATCATAGTAAGATATGAAAATCTGAGATCACTGATGATTAATGAAAAGCACCTTATAGTTTTTTTTAGTAGTGTTTTTTCTTTGTTTGTCTTGATAACCAATTAATGGACGTCACTTTTCATTGAAGCCGACATTTTCCTTTATAGCGTGACGTCACATCGTAGATGTCAGTGTTGTTAGTGACTATTAAACCGATAAAATTACAACCCTTAAAGCATAAGTGTTTTCCAACCAGGCAACTTGAAGTTCACCATAAAGCTTTTTATTTCTGTCACTGCAGAATGTTTTGTGTAAAAATTTAATGTTTCCCAAACGCATAAAAACCGTTCAACTACAACTTTACGACGTGTTTTAAATATCACCAAATTACAGGTATTACAAATTAGCACTAAAATTGGTTACGCTCATATCAAATGTAAATTTGCCCATGGAATATAAGTTAATTTAAGACGGTTTAATTATTGAATTCGAAAGAAAACTTAAGAAATTCTTGGAGAGGTTTTGACAAAACAAGAAAATGACTAGAAATTCTTATTTACGTTAACTTTTTATTCCCTTTTCTGAAAACTACCAGTAACTGTAGGAACCATGCAATAAATATGGATGCTCACAGAATTATCATTTCATTTTTCATCATCAAAAATGTCCAACCTTAAAATGGCAAGTTGAAAATATTGGCGGATGCTATACGTTAATCTTAACAAAAGATATGTTCAAATATCTATAAACATAAATCTATAAAAATCGTGTGTAAATAATATGTCATGACAAAAAAATTATTGAAAAATCGTCTCTATATCCAGTACAATGAACGCAACCAATTCCGTTTCCAATTATCTGGAATTCAATCTAGGATATTTTCTGGTAAATTCTTGTGTAAAATATTTCCGTTCATTTCAAACACGATTAACCTCCATTTCAAAACTTTTAGAAATTACTAATTTATAATAAATAGCCAGTATTTCAAAATTGATTCCATTTGCGCTTTTAGATCAACAATGTATCTTAACCCCGGTAATTTGTGAAAGCATTTAAAGGGATAGATTCGTCTATATATCTTTACATTCTGTTCAGGTAGAACTGCTGAAAGCAGTTATTTGACAGAGCAGGAAAAGTTCCATAATATCAAGCAGTATTGAGTCACTTGGTGAGCGGAACTGAAGCTGTTTTCATTCTGACGGATGGTTTGTGTAGCTCAGTTTCATCTCAATTGGCCAAATAAGTAGTCGAATGTATACCTTTTTTCATTTTTTTTCTCCTAATTGATCTTAAATTTACATTTGTTATGCTAACTACGTCCAATCATTTTCTCATCCGTAGTTTACACGTGTTACGATCGGTTCCATGTTTCAACATTACATGTATATAGCAGTTCGTCTAGTGTTTGGTAGTAGACTACACTGTCGTATACAATTAATTCTCTGGAAATTGTCGCAACTGTAGAGCAACTCGTTCTTAAAAAAACTTAAGACTTAACACGATATTGAGGAAAAATCGAACATGTTACTAAGGTATTAACCCGTTAAAACATACTTTGAAAAAACTTAAAATATTGGTTATAAAATTGGTTTATGGTTGTCTCCCATGAATTTCGTCGAGAATTAATTTATACTATTGCCTCCTTTTGGCAAATAAGGCAGGTAAGTGTTTGCCTGATAATGCTGGTCCCTTGTCAAACACTTTGTTGTTGCTAAAGGAACAAGGGTTAAAATATAGCATATCCTATTCATGTACCTTTAATTATGTAAAAAGGAAGGACTTATTTTAATCCAATTACTTACATACATACACCAAGTGTCTGCGTTACCTCCCCCAATGTTTCTGATATTGATCAAGAAGTTTTTCTGTTGGTGACATCACCATGATCTGGTGGAATTGTTGTGTGTCACAGCCTCAAGGTCACTAAAAATCAATTTACAGGATGTCGTAATGTCGTTAATGTAAGTTTTAATTGATATAAGACATCATACCGCTATCGAGTCCAACCCAGACTTCATATACATAATTTTCCTGGATCGTGGATACATGATAGAATAGATATCTAGTGACTTTTGGCAGTAGTTAAAAAAGGGGGCTGTTAGTGTCATACCAAACTTCAGCGTAATTTTTCAATTTTTACAAATCTTTAAATGCAGGTTTACTGTGTGAGTTTGTATGTACAAATACAGGTTTAATTTTACAATTTACAGTTATTTGCTGTATAATATGGATTGATGAGGGCCAATTCGCCCAATTCGATCAACTTTTTCGATTTTCGACTTTACTAGTTCAAAAACTTTGATGTTAAGTCTTTCGAGGACTTTTGTACTTGGTCAAAGCAAATTTATTGAGAAAATTGCCTTTTTGATTCAATCCTTGAAGCTTGCATCTACAGAATAGTATCCTTTTTAATTGATTTACAAGTGGGCAAAACTTTTAAAATTTATCTTTATATAGAAAATACTCGTCATGACACGCACTCTGAATTGTTTTCGAAATTGCACAGATGCATTGATTATATATTTAGAAACATTCTTGACAGACACACAAGTGTCCAATTACGCTGGCTGACGTCTTGATGGAAGATTGCTGATGTCTGATGTTATTTCACAACACGTTCCATTCTAATACGTCACCAGAATAACATCAAAAGCAAAGACGTTTGGACACGACTATACAGATGGGAGCACTAGTTAAACAATTTGATTTATTAGCGTCTTCCTACTGTTTATATTGCTTCACACGAAAACGAAAATTAAACAAAGTAGACCAATTTTAATGTCATCCTTTTAGAATCTGTTTTAAAGGTATAGGTACGGGATATCAGGAATGGGCGGGGATTTGAACCTTGAATATACATGTATGTAAATAGTCTTCTACCAAAACTGTACGAAAATCATATAATTCCATCAAATAGACCTCAAACAAGATTTTTAACTTTTATTTATTTCTTTCACAAGCTTCTCTCTGAAATTTGAGGTATCCGAAAGTTGAACATCTTGTTGATATAGACTCTGACACCAAGATATCTTCCGTCGGAGCAGTGGGACAGGATGATAGAGTCTACTGCATAACATACACATGACGTCATCAACGGATTTTCAAAATAAAGTCTCTTAAAATAACGACTTACATTAAAGTACTTTTAAAGTCGAATATAGTATCATTGTGTTTTACCAGGAAGGCATGATACAGCACGATCAGCGAAAACTTTTGAAAATTGGGATAGATCACCTAACATATGAGGCCTTTCGGAACAGCATTCTCGTTGACTGTTTGCGATGCCTGCGGCACTTACTATTGTAATTAGGGAGAGACATAATTGACAATATTCATTTGGAGCGACGAAAGATACTTGGTTGGTTTTGATTTTGATAATAACTATAGTCTTGCCTAAATCTTATCACTGTACTAATGGTTCCATACGCTTCTACTAAAATCTAGTCCACATTACCTTTTTGTTCTAGTCATGAAGTTGGTCCATGGTCAATGTCTTTAATGAATTAATTTATGATTGGTTTCTCGTCGAATAGTGCGATCTACAGTACTTTAATTTCATATGACTGCGATAAATTGGAATTCAAATATGACATCTATAAAAGGGCGATGACGTCATCGATGTTTTCACCTAAGTTTTCCTGTATTACAATTTCAAGTTATAGAAATAGACTAATTAGCCTAGAATTTTTTACGTGATGGTTTAAATTATACAATTTGAAACTTATGTGGGAGTAGTTTTCATAACTCGGTTGTACTACCATTTATATGGAACATCGTATTTTAGGTTTACTGAAGGTGATTTTTATTATTCCATTTCAGAACAGCTGATACCACTCTGCGAATAAACTTGTCAATTCGGTATTCCTTTCGGACAGTCCATGTGGCTTATAACGTTAAAAATGGAAATATCAAATGGTACTGAAGGTTCATAAATCCCGTTCAGAACAACGGATACCACTCTTTGACTACACTTCTCAATTTGCATCCCTTTCGGACTGTCCATGCAGATAATGCTGTTATCCAGTATTCCTTTGGCACTGTTTTAGTCAAAGGGAGAAATGTCGATTGTAGTAGAGCCTAACATTTCAATGCAACGTCATGGTTAAGGTTTACTTTAGTTTCATAAATGCATTTCAGAACGCCTGATACCACTGCTTCTATCTGCTTTATGCTTTTATATAGTAAGGCTTAATGTCTCCTTCTGTTCCTTCAAGAAATTTCAATGTATGATTAATTATGGCTTTACTCATGAGACTCAAACATCATGTCTTATTATTCTGAACACGACTTTCACTCAATAAGACCACAGAATCCGATAAAAACCAAAGTTCTGAAAGACATACGACATCGACATGCATCTTGATTTATTGAAGGTAATAGCATACAAATACAATGTATAACCCTTGATCCCTTGATTACTAAATTTGGCCTTTTGAGTACAGGGTTTAGTTTTCGATTCAGATTCATTAAAACAATGCAAAATGTTACTACATAGAGTGTGCCAAAAATAAAAGCCATGTGAACCATTGGAAGTCCCTTTATTATCAGATAATGGGAGTAGTTGGTGTGTCCTGCGTGGATACCGAATCGATAAAATTCACTAAATACAGTAACAGTTACCGAATTGAAAAATGGTGGAGATAGCACCAAGATAAGTTATTGGTTATAAGTTAAGGGCTGTTTCTACCTGAAGGACCTGAAACCATTTACCTTAATGCGAGGCATTTGGCTCAAAGTTCGCCAATGTTCCTTAGTTTCCGTGAGTTGAACATCGACTAGGTCAGATTGACATTTTGCAAGGTAGATTGACAATTGGTTGTTTTATAGTGGTATATGTAAAATATAAATTATATACAGTTAAAGAAACTCAAATTGGATGACATGTATGTAGCTCTGGTGTATTTCATTTACTAAAAAAAAACATTGCGTCATTTGAAAGGAAACAACCAAACCTTTTTTTTTCAAAGGGTAACTAGCAGCATTCTAGTCTGGAAGTTGATACGAGGGACTGGGGAGGAAACGGTGAAAAAGAAAGATAAGCTCCTATTGACGAGGTATATATTATGTATGCTTTATTATATACATTTTGCATGTTGTATATCTATTATGAGATCTTTTGATTTATTCATAAAATATTTACGTAACAGTCTCCGAACCCACGCAGCTAACTTATCCCATTCAAATATGACATGACATAATTCGAAAACCAGTGTCTATTTGCTGAAAATATTTGGTGAGCAAAATTTCACATTGTTGTGCCCTCCTTGTTATAGAATGTTGCTTTTCTGCAACTCCTTACTTTCCAATGGCCTGTTAACTCTATATCTCCCGATTTTCTTTTGTAGTTTATTCTTTTTCCTTTTTGTACCCCCTTTCAGTGGTTAATTAAAAATCTGGCACAAGCGTCTTTGAGCTGTAACTCAGTACGCTTCATCCCAAATAATCCATCCAAGTTCCAAAGGAATTCCAGAATGTATCGGTTTTAAAACAGTTTAGAAATATCCAAGTGCTAACTTAACTTGTTGAGTCGGCACAGTGTCTATTTATTTGAAATTTGTATACCCATTAATACAATGATACATGAAAACATAGTAATAAGATGTGTACATAATCTTATAAAAGTCATTTACAATCACATTATGTGTAATCAAATTACCATATACCAGGGGTTACATTACAGAATTTTCTCTTTAAAAACAACAATTCTTTCAATAAATAAATACTGGAAACTATACTGATAATCTGAAATTAAAACAAAAACATCTTTTACCATCGTTTAACCGGTATTTATAATCTCTAATAATGTTCATTATCATATAAAACGTCGAAAGTAGAAAGAATAAAGTATTCGAATATGATTAACTTAAACGCAGGTTAGAGTCAAACAACCACACAATAATTCTTACTTTATGAAGTATCGGGGTGTAGAGTGGGCGATTAACACATCACAAGAACACAAGAACCAATCTATTAATCTCAACAGGACATGTTAACTAGCACATTTATTTCCTGAACAGGGAGAACACGTGACCTTTCTCAACAGGACACATAAACTAGCACATTTACTTCCTAAACAGGGAAAACACATTACCTCTCTCAACAGGACACGTTAACTAGCACATTTACTTCATAAACAGGGAGAACACATAACCTCTCTCAACAGGACACAGAAACTAGCACATTTACTTCCTAAACAGGGAGAACACATAACCTCTCTCAATAGGACACATGAACTAGCACATTTACTTCCTAAACAGGGAGAACACATAACCTTTCTCAACAGGACACATGAATTAATAAATTTACCTTCTTGAACAGAGATTGCACAAAAACCAATATATCAACATATCTCAACAGGATACGTGAACTAGCATATTTACTTCCTAAACGGGGAGAATGCAAGAAACAATTAACCTCTCTCAACAGGCCACATTTAATTTCACGAATAGAGAGAATACAAAACGGGTTATCGTGTCCAAGCCACACACACATTCGTCATACTTAATAAGACCATGTCAAAACCCGTATTCGTGATATGATGAAAAATAATGTACTTACCTCTACAATTAGGACACATACGCCAGCACCAATAATAGTGTTTTGATATTTATTGATTGAGTTTTCGACTTCATAATAACATCCCTAAAATAACAAAATAACACCCTTAGATAAATGAAATAAGTTCAAGGAGAAGTGGTCATTCGAAATTGAAAGTTTTTACTGGAAAGTAGAAAATGAAATATCTTTTTACTCTTATTTAGATTAGAAAATATGTTTATCTAAATTTTTGGTTGGTTGGTTGGTTGGTTGATTTGTTGGTTGGTAGAAAACAAGTTAGCGTCTGCTTCCAGTTATCCGATAGCTGGAAGCGGACTGTTTGCTGGAAGCGGACATTAACTTGTCATCTACTAACCATCCAATTGATTGCTTGATATAATGAAGAATGAGGATCAAACGATAAAAAGATATTACGTTTTTAAATGTGTCACAACCCAAAATTTCTGTAATTTTCTCAAAAAAAAATATTTTCTCATATTATTTAATTATTATCCTTTTTTCCTTTTTTTAAATTTTACTTAATCGAACCAATCGAGTTCCACCCTCTAATATCTGTTCTAACATCTGTTCAGTTATATTATATCTATTTTCTAAATCGCATTACTTTTAATCTCTTAATCTTCGCTAATCCGCAGATCATCGTGCTGAATATGACATAAACGCTATAGAACTCATTTTAAAGAAGTAAAAGAAAAATATATTTCAGTTTAATTTCGTGTCCGTAGTATTCAGTAGCTAAAATGGTGTCTTCCCACATCGCCCTTCCCATTTCGCCCATTCCCCCTTCCTCTTTTCCCCTTTCCCATATCGCCCCTTTCCCAGTTCGCCCATTTTCCACTTCGCCCCTTCCCAATTTCACCCCTTCCTCTTTTGCCTCTTTCCCATATGGCCCCTTTCCCAGTTCGCCCCTTTACACTTCGCCCATTTCCACCTCGCCGCTTCCTGGTGCAAAACATGTACCTTTATATCAGAAACTCTGATTTTTTAAGTAACTCTACGAATAAAAGGTACCCGACCCAGGAACATCTAAGATGTGAATATTCGCATGTAATATATTTAATTTCATGTAAGAAATGCCCCAAACAATATATAGGTGAAACTAAGAATAATTTACGAACTCGTTTTAATGCTCACAGGTCGGATATCAAATTAAAGAAAGACAAGCCTGTTTCTAATCATTTCAACCTCGACGACCATTCAATAGACGATCTCACCCTAATCCCAAGTGAGCGCATATAAATTGACTTGCACGAAGATGAAACTACCAAATTTCGTCAACCTAGGAAAGCCTATTGGAATGAGACATTGAATATGAATACAGTAACCAGCAATCGAGCAAGCAAGATAGTTCATGCCCACGTTAAGAGCCTTCAAGAGAAATTCCCCCATGTCTATAAGCAGAAAAGGACAGTTGCATATTCAAAAAATAAGAACTTAAATGATAATATTATTCATAGTAAACTAAAACCAGTCAGTACATAACAGATACTATACTTCCCACCCATTGGGCGAGTTATTTTTTCTAATTTCAGATCAGAATCAGAACAGAAGAAAACCCAACATCAGGAGCCTTAATCCTAATTTCTAAATAAAGTGTCTGTTCCACCCTAGGCTTGTACATTTGGGAGAATCAGACAAGACTCAGATCATTAAGTTTTATTCTAATGATGAATCTAGTCAATGCTATTTTTAGATATCCTCTATCTGCCTCCCTTTTTGCCACCATAAGCCTGTACATTTGGGAGAATCAAACCCTCCCTTCCCCGAAATCTAAAAATACTTGTTTTGTGAGCAGTCAAACAAGTCAAATTTGTGTTGATATCCGGTAGTGGTCTACTTTTATTTTGACTAGTTCAAACTTTTTCATAGTCGGGATATATTGAATTTTTGTCTAAAAACTAGGTATAGGCCAGGCTTTCATGTGCCATATTTGAAAGTTTTCAGCGAGAATTCTGAAAAAAGTTAGAAGACTGAATTTGTTGTTTTAACATGGAAACAGATGTTAAATGGATTACCGGCCTGAGTTTTGAAATATGTTTTCATGAGTTACGTCCCTTGAATATTTAACATTCATTAATCAAGTAACCATATTTTTTCATTGTACGTTAATATTTGTCATGTTTGTTGTGTATGTCAAGCAGTTATGGCCGGTGTGTTACAAGGCAGTATATGCTTACTCTTCTAGACACCTAATACCACTTCCCATTATGAAATACTTACTCACTTATGATATACTTCCTCACGTGAAAAATTCATCAGCTGCTACCAATGTTTCGTCAATATGTTGTTTGGATTTCGGGTTTCGGTTCGGATCGTTAGTACTTAGTGTATTTGTAAAAATATCAATAGCACTTGGCAACAACAAATTTCAGATTCGTTCTTAGACACTCCTGCCCTGTGTAATATGATAATAAATATTAGAGTTCTTCTCCCTCGCACGCCACTGCTTTAATGTCTGTCTATATCAGTTTGTAAATAATTCAAATAGCACTATTTCAACAGTTAAAATCTGATTGTAGCAATCAACATATGCAGCTCTTGACCTTGTAACTTTAATGGTTTTTTTTTATTTTGTTATTTTTTTATTTTTCAAATACTATCCGTTATATAAAATCTTACATGGAAAACATTTATATATCTCAAAATGTTTGTTGGATTATCTGCGAACAATAACACTTTTATCGAGAACACTGTATCAGCTATTATGAATGTCCTCGGTGTGTTTATTTGTACTATGCAAAATCGTGCTGACCTTTTTCAAGGTTATTATGCTCTTATCAATTTTCCTTACAGAATATTGACGTCATTGCTGGCTATAATAACAACCTAATTCAGTGGCTGTAATGCCATATTTCAGTCAAAAAAAGTTTCCAATGCCACCACCAAGACCGTGGAGAACGAAGAAGTATAACGGCGGAAGAGACGACAGTCTTGAGGTTTTATACCGTCTGTTCAGCCGAAATATTACCGATGTTTTCAATAAATTGATCATATCGTCAAAAAACAGAATATTGAATGTTGGTTGGACACTAATATAGTGAGTGTTTATGAAACTTCCCCCCCCCCCCCCACTCCCACCCCACCTTTCCACTTTTAATTTTGTTTCCCATTCT